CGGTAAACAAGTTATTGTTGTGTTTTATTTTATATTTTTTTTTTTTGCTCTTTCAAATTTGCAATTGTATATATTTTGCATTCAACGCTTTAGCGCTTGGTTGCTACGGTTCTTAAGAATGTGCAGAGTTGAAAGATTCAAAAGTGCAGAAACAGCAGAAATTCCAAAATGAAACTGCAAACGTGCGAATGTGCTTAAATATGTATTTATAACGGCGACTAGCGGTGTTAAATATAAAACAAAAACAAAAAACGAACTATGGTAGCCAGTGTTTTTCAAGGCAACTCATAGATGGAGAAAAAAAATAAAAAATAAAATATAAAATGAAATAAAATAAAATAAAATAAAGTAAAATAAAATAAAATGAAATAAAATCCAATTAAATAAAATAAAATAAAATAAAATAAAATAAAATAAAATAAAATAAAATAAAATAAAATAAAATAAAATAAATTAAATTAAACAAAATAAAATAAAATAAAATAAAATAAAGTAAAATTAAAAAAAGAAATAAAATGAAATGTAACAAAATTATATTTAATTTAATTAAATTAGTTTAAATAAATTGGAGCAAGTAAAATATGTTTAAATAAATTGAAAATCGTATTTAATATAATTAAAATATTCGCAATAATATTTTGTCTCCTGAACCCTTTGTAAAGCTGTAGAAAATCATTAATTTTAATACATATTTGATTTATATACATATATTTAATCAAACGGAATTTTTTTCTTTGTTTCTATTTGATTTTTAATTTCAACTGTAACTGCGCATGCGCAGCGGCACAATATCGGCATTGCAGCATACAAGTGCTGTCAGCAGGTTCAAGTAGCCACTCGAGCGACCCACAATACCCACACATATACTTACTTATCTTAATTTTTTTTCAATCGGCCTGCACTCTGTAACAATGTAACAATGGCAGCCGCGCCCGCCATGAAGCTGTAGAGCAATTCACTCGGTGGTATTTTCTTGTTATTTATTGCAGATAATGAAAAAACGTTGTACATTTTTAGTGTTTGTCAAGTTTATGTGACAGTCAAAAAATTTTGTTATTTTTTTTGTTTTGTTTTGCATTTGATATTGTAAAGCGATTGAAAATTCATAGCAATGAACCAAAAAATGTTAAAAATTTGTGAAAAATTTTGTCTACAAAATAGCAAATTTCTAACTTTAACCCAGAAGCCTCCACCAACAGTAGAATAAACAGGAGTTTCCTGTTTTTTTATGGTTCTTTTATATTTTAAATTTTTGTTTTTGTTATCCTTTGTTTTCTTTTTTTTTTTTGCTTTTTTCTCATGGTTCTGTGCGATTTCTTATTTTATTTAAAGCCTATAAAAGCATACACATTGGAAATAGCATCATAATTCAATTTGTGTCGGCATAGAAATCCCTAGATACGTCCTGCTTAACTCAGAAAAGCCTGCCACGCACAGCTGCTGAGCTTTTGTTGTTTCATGGGAGCACACAAGCGTGCATAGAGTACATGAATGCGGATAAATGTATGTATTTAAAGGTCTTTTGAATCTTAACAAAAGAAATACCTAAGCAAGCGAACCCAACAAACATTGAAAGGTATTTTTACAACTTTGTTGAAAAGTTAATTTAACTTAATTTTTTTTAAATTGGTTTTAATTCAATTTAACTTATTTTATTTTTAATTGGATTTAATTCAAACTTCAATTTATTTATTTTTTAAATGGATTTAAGTCTATTTAATTTAATTTAATTTAATTTTTTTTAAGAATTTAATACAACTTAATTTGCTTTATTTTATTTTATTCTAATTGTTATTTTTTATTTATTTTGTTTATTATATTTAATTAAATTTTTTGTTATGATTTATTTTGGTATTTTCGTTGTATTCAATTTCTATTTATATTTACTTTATTTAATTTAATATTATTTGATTTAATTTGATTTAATTTAATTTAATTTAATTTAATTTAAATTAATTTAAGTTAATTTAATTTAATTTAAATTAATTTAATTTAATATAAAAAATAAAATAAAATAAAATAAAATAAAATATTTATTTTATTTTATTTTATTTTATTTTATTTTATTTTATTTTATTTTAATTTAATTTGGTTGGTTGATCGGTTAGTTGGTTGAAGAGACAGCCGGGTATCGGTTCACAGATGAAGTATAGGCCTAACAACTATGAACTATAGATTGCAATGGACGCTTAATTTCCTCTCCCTGATGAGTCCCAGGTATTTTGCAGACTCAGCAATGCGTAAGTCCGTTCCTGAGAGATCTGGTGTTGTGAGCTTGCGAGAATCTTACGCCTTCTGGTGAAAAGAACGAGTTCAGTTTTCTGAGGGCTGATGCCCAGTCCAGCATCAATTCATTTTAATTTAATTTAATTTTGTTTTACTATGTCATATATATATTTTTTATTATATTTGTTGTTTTTAGTGGTTTATTGGGGACTTCGTGCAGCTTTTTGAACGCGAACAAAGGGAAATTGCGCAGTGATTTTATATTTTTGTTTTTATTTTTATATTTTTGCTTTTCTAGCATCAACTTAGACAGTATCAGGTCACCAGCAGAGCGAATTATGGGCTGAACGCGCGTCTTTGTTGGAGTAGATATCACATTTTTCGCGCAACCCTCTTGATTCCATATAACCACCTATGTGTACGTATGTATGTGTTTGTGTGTGTGTAAATGCTGTCACTGCCTCACTGTCTGATGTATTGACTGACTGCTTGTCACGTGTGACACAAAATTCGTATAATCATATGAATTAGAGTTTGTCAGTTGTCTGCTGTCGGCGCTGACGCTGGCGCTGAAGTTGGCGCTGGAGAATAAGTAAGTAAATAGCGCATGAGTAGAAAACAAACGGCAGCTGCGCGAAATTCAACAATGACGGAGCGTTGCATCTGCAATTTGGAGAATTTATTGTTGGCACGCTACCACACAAACACACACACACGCACGCTTATATATACGTCCGCTCCGTTGATTATGGCTTGATACTTGCATTTCGTGTGATTTGTCGCCATTGTATTTGGCGAAATGCTTTTATATTTGCATACATACATACAAATGTATATTTATTGTATTTATTTTTGTATTTGTAAAATGTTGTTGCTTTGATTAAGTGCAACATTAGTGCTGGTTAATTTAAATTGTGGAAATAAGCACACATACAGCACTTTATAGTCACACTAACCTGCAACGACGTGTGTTATGTGTACGAGGGGCGCTTATTATGTTTGTGGTATATAGCGTAAAAATAAACAGGAAGTGCTCTAAGCTGATTCTTTGAGCGAACTACCTGAGGCGTCCCAACAAAGTTAGTCAGACAAAAATTTCAGAGGCTTTTCTTTGCTGTCACACTTCAAAGTGAGGTTAAGGCGCAGCAATGAGCTGTGGGTGGCGATTTTAACTCATTTTGAAGAGAGAGCTGTAAAATATATATATTTTTTTACTTCTCTGTTTTTTTTTTTTGTAATAAATATATGCAGTTTAAAATTGATCTAAAAAACTTTTTTATTAAAATTTTCTGCTAAAAAAGCGTAGTTTTTTTTTTATAAATTTAGCTCGTTTAATTGGGATAATATTAACCGGCCTTTTATTTGTTGTTATAATTAAAATTTTGCTCGACAAAAACATATATTTTTTTCGGAAATTTCGATTTATTTTAAATAAATTAATTTCTTTGAATTGAGGTAATATGAAAATTTTATTTTTAACTTTTATTATTACATTTTTTTTTAATAAATTAAATTTTTTTCTGTAAAATGAACTTTTTCCATAAGCTTAGTTTGAGAGAGTCATAGTTATAAAGTATTTATTAATTTGTTTTTTATTATAATATTTTTCTGTTAGAATATATATTTTTTAAATAATTTATTTATTTTCTTTTTTAATTACTTTACTTTTTATTAATTCATTTATTCATTATTTAGTGAGTTAATATTAAAAAAAAAAACATTTATTGTCTATAAAAATATACATTTATTTCAATTTGCTGAATTTTATTTAATAAAATTATTATTATTCACAGTGGTACTTCCCTTAACGGACACCGCTTATGGGAAGTTTCACTGTATTTGTTTTTTCTGTATTTTTTCCATAATAATGTATATATTTTAAAACAATTTTGATTAAAATAAATTTATTTAAATATGTTTATATTAAAAAATATTTATTTATATATTTTTGCTTTTCCTTTTTAATTTAATGTTGATAAACGTTTATTCATTTATTTTTATTTTCTTTTGGTTTCATATTGAAAAATAATCTTTTAGTATTTTTTGCTAATTTTTTTATAGAAATATATTTGTTTTTGTAAAATAGGATTTTTTTCAATAAATTTATTATGTTTAAGTGAGCTCTTTTAAAAAATATAATATAAAATATATAGTTTTCATGTTTTTTTTAACAATTGTACTCAGTTTAAGCGATAGTTTAAAAAATAATTTTTAATATTTTTTTTTTAATTTAATTTAATTTTTTTTTTCAATTTTTCCCCTCTACCAACTTTTGAGGCTGCCCCTGTTTGAACTAGCTACTGTTTTCAACATAAACTTAGAATTAAGCTGGCATTTGCTCACTTTACCGTTGTTAAGCTGCAAAGTTGTGCAAACAAATTGTGTCATGCGCTAAGAGAATTGGGTAAATTTGTTGAGAAGCTGCAATTAAGGTTGTTGGATTTGTAGAAAGTAGCTGTCAGCTTAAGATGATGCAAAATAGATTTTGATTTGAACCATTTTTTTTTTATTAAAAAAAAATAATTTTAAAACCGCATTAAAGATTTTTTTCGAACTCAGCACGCAATATACTGGATTTATGATTATAAACAAATTGAAAATAAGCGAGTTGTGAGTTCTTTTCCAGCTGCGCTTACAAAAGATTATCGCTAAAATAAGCGACTTGTTTAAGTTACCGTTATAAATGTTCGGAAGAGTATATTAAGCTTCTACCCATTTTTTAAAAGTTTCCTTTAATAACAATGTTTATATTAAACATCAAAAACAATACTCACCACTTTCATGAAACCGTACTCCCGCTTGTTGACGTCAGAAGAGGTGTTTTTGTACAAAATTAGATTACATAAAAATTTCGTTTGTGGTTTTTACTAAAATCTTTTCTTTCTTTAATTTAAAATTATCTTTACGCTTTTAACTCACAATGTGGTGTAAATGCAATGCCCACCACTCTGGCTGCAGTGTTGCTCAGCTGCGTTTTTTCTTCTTCTTCTTTATTTAATATAAATTCACTTATACAGTGGACCCCCGATAATCCGGCCCCTGTCTAATCCGGCGCCCCTTGTAATCCGACATGACAGAATTATGTTTGACAATCTTTGCTAATACATATAGATCACGCAAGTTTGAACAGGTCACAACTCGAACGCGCCACCGCTATCGTGCTCGACGCGTATGCATTGTTTTACTTAGTTTGAATTTGACTACTAGTGATAGCGGTACGGCCTAGCGTACGTTCATTGTTTACTATTTATTCATTGTGTATTAGGTATATNAAGTACATACATATGTACGTATAATATATAGACTCTCGTCATTAGATATGTAATTTGTCGGATTACAAGGTACTCTTTCGTAAAAAAATCCGGACTATAGGGGTCTTAGGCAGTGCTCTATAATCCGACAAATTCGATGGTCCGACACTGCCCTGCATAATGTTTGCCGGATTATCGGGGGTCCACTGTATATTCATACACATATAAGCTTATATGCATTCACATATACGCGTATGTATTTAAATAGCATTTATGCATATATATTGTATATATATACGCACTTATATAAATATCGTATTGTAAGATGATGCAGAGTTAAGGCAAGTGAAAATTATGCGAAAAGCAGAAAAAGTATCCAATTGCAATTTTGTGTACAAAACTGAATGATTCGTGGAATGACTGACTGGTTGACTGGTTTGGCTGACAGATGGAGACAGTCTTGCTGTTTAACACTTATGCACATATATATATACATATACTCGTAGGTAAGTATGTGCGATTGACTAAATTATAAAACGACTTTGCATTGATGTTTATAAGCGTTATAAAGTAAATTATTCGTTGTTTACTTTTTTAATTTACTTTTAAATTGCTCGTACTCTTCATTTATATTTCTGCTGTGGCAAAATTTGTTCACAAAAACAAAAATTTTGTCTCGTGAAATTTATTGTTGAACTGGAAAACAAATTATAAAAAAGATGCAATTTTTATATACACATTAGCAAAGCATTTTACACATACATACACTAAAAAAAAAATCACATAAAATGTACAATTGTAAATTAAAGTTTATAAATTTTTGTTGCAAGTTGTTTAACAGTATCTTGTTTCGTTTCTTAGTTTATATTTATTATTATATTATTTTTGTTATATTTTTTTTTTTTTTAATTTTAACATTTTTATTTTTGTTTCTATTTAAATTTTCTGTGCATCTGGCAATTGCTGGTAAATTTATGCTTTAAATAAACATATTTAAAAATTTTGGATTACAAATCTCCCGTTAAACTGTTTACGAAAAACTAAAAAAATATTTTTTCAATGAGAAAATAAATAAATTTTTGTATATTTTTAATGTATGTACATGAAAAAAGGAAAATCACCTGCACGAATTGAGCTGTTGTTTAAAGCAAAATAAGTTTATTTTATTGTTAGTTTCATTAGTCAATAAAGTTTTAATTATATTTGCGAAATTTATTTATAACTTTTTTTTTGTTTTTGTAGTTTTAATGTTACTTCATCACATTTATAGCTTGTTTTTATTAACTTTATACTATTTAAAGTGATTTATTTTACTTTGTTTAATTTAATTTGAATAAATACAATTTAAATTATCTTAATTTAATTTACTTAAACTAAGTTTTATTTACTCTAGTTTACTTTATCTCAATTTATTTTATGTTATTTTTTTTATCATTTTAGTTTATTTTTATTTAATTTATTTATTTTATAGTATTTTTTTCTAACTTGTCATATTTACGGTTTTTTTTTTCATTTTATTATATTATATTATTTTTTTTTACTTTACCTTACTTAATTTTATTTAATTTACAAAATTTTTTTTTGTTTTCATCACATATAGTTTTTTTGTCTATATTTACTTTCTCTTTAGTTAAATGTCTTTATTTTATATTTTATTACATATAATTTTGTTTTATTTTTGTTATTTAATTTTATTTTATCTTTTAATTTGTTTCATAGGCTTTATTTTTATTTTATTTTAATTTAATTTAATATTCTTTAATTTTATCTGATTTCATTTTATTTTATTCTACTTTACTTTTGATTTTTTTAGTTTATTTTATTTCATATTTTTTTTATTTAATTTAATTTGATTTAGTATAGTTTAATTTAATTGAATTTAATAAAATTAAATGCATTTTAATATAATTTATCGTAAAACAATTTAACTTAATTTACGTCAATTTAATTTAATTTATTTTAAATATCCTAAAATAATTTATTTTTTTAAGTCTAATTTAATCTAATTTCTTTAATTGATTCTATGTTATTTTACTTTATTTCATTTTACTTTATGTTAAAAATAAAATAAAATAAATGTTTTATTCTATTTTATTTTATTTGATTCTTTTCCAATTTATAATTTGTAGTTTTATATAATGTAGTTCTGTTTAATTTTATTTAATATTATTTTATTTGATGTAATTTTATTTATCTTAACTTTAGTTATAGTTTTGTTTACTTTATTTTATTTTTTATTATTACTTTTTCCATTCTGTTTGCTTATAATTTATTTTTGCTTTATTTTATTATGCTTTTTAAAGCGTTTTGTTAATTTTTTTATTTTTTTATTTTATTTTATTTCAGTTTAATCAATTATTTATTATTTATATAATTTACTTCTTCTTTATTATTATTTTATATCTACTTTATTTTATTTTCTTTATGTTATTAATTTTTGATATATTTGATAAAATCTTTCATAGCATTTTATTTAATTATTGCTGATATTGTTTTTTATGGGTTTTATTCTTTTTTATATACTGTTTTTTAAATTTATTTAATTATTTTGACATTATTTAATTTTATTTCATTTAATGTTTAATGTTTTTTAATTAAATTGGTTTTAATTTTATTTTATTTTGTTTTTATATTTTGATGTTATCTTATATTTCTAGACTTATATAACTTCGTTTTATTTTTTACATTTTAAATTTTTTTTTTTGTGTTTAGTGTTTTTCTAATTTATTAACTACCCGTTTATGCTTTGTTTCACTATTTACTCTCGCGCATTTTTCACATTCTTTATATTGCTTCTGTTTGTAGTAAATAAATCATAACCCAGATATACATATATATGTAAATCTCTAATGTAGGCTGTTGTGTTTGTTGCAAGTAGGAATTTGCCTTTCTTTTTGCAATTTGCCACCATGCACATACATATCGATTGCTACGTATATACGAGCATAGTTATTAGTTGCTCCATATTTATTTATTATATAGACTTTTGTACGAATTCCATTTATTTTTTATATAATCATGTTTTGCACACCGAGAGCCCTCATTTCATCACAAAAATGTTTTCAAAAACTCATTTAAGTTTTTATTTGTAATTTGCATTCCACGTTTTACAAGTAAATTACAATTTCATTTTATGATTATTTTAATGTTTGTACAAATGTGTTTTTGCTCACAAACAGTACAGCGGGTAAATAACTGATTTTATTGCCCACGACAGTTTGACTGAAATTTGATGAATGTTGCTGCAGCTCCCTATTACGCTACGCTTAGGGTAAATTTTATTATAAATCAATTATTTCTTGTTTTGTTGCAAAAATAATATTGCGTAAAAAAATCTTAAATTATTATCACTCAAATATTTGTCGCTTTTAATAATTCTGAAAAATTCGCGATGCAGCAAACTTTTGAAATTAAATAAAAGCAACAGTCAACAAACCACACACCTTTACAACCGCACGACGTGACACTCGTTTGAAAACTAAATCCGCTCGAAAGTCCAACTACGACTTGGCGCTCGTACAGCGTACAACACGACGGTCCTGTCTTGATCATATGACAAGTGAGCAGCGAGCTTTGTGGGGAGTTTGTTTGGTGAGCTTTTAACTGGCGGTGGCTTAACTGCTGGTGGCTTTGGTGTATGTGTGCGATCGAACAGCTGTTCAGAGAATCCGGTTAACTGCGTTTTTTGTTTGTATGGAATGCATTATATTCTCTTAATTAGCACTTCGTTCTCTGTGTGAAGTTTTTCTTTCTCTTTTAGATTTCGCGCTACGACACTGTGAGCGAAGAGCGGTTTCTCTTTTGCAATCACGACAGCACAGTGTCGGAATACCAAAGCTTGCCATTAGCAAGCCAAGTTTGCAGTAAATGCTGTTAAATCCCTATATTCTATCTCATTTAAGTAAGCGCTGCTGGCTAAGGCTGATATCAGTGCTTAGAACTTTTCTATCAATTTCACTTAACAACTCACTGGACCTTTATTGCTTCCTCCTGGTTACGTATTTATTTATTTTGCCCCCCGCGACTTCTCGCACACGGTAACTTTTATCAGGCTGTTGGGTATTTTTTTTTTTATTTTTCCTGTTTTTTGAGGTCTCCTTGGTATCACTTTAGCGTGTATATCTTTCTATTTGGGGCTTATCAGTCTCATACTAAGTCTAGCAATGTTACTTGTTAAAAAATGATGGTTCATACACCCCCTAAAAGATTTCCGAAAATTCAAAATTCATTGGAAGGGTCTGCTTATCGAGCACAAAGCTTTAAACTGAACTCGCCAATCCGTCGTCAACCTCCACTCATCTGTCCTGGATATCTTTCAGGTGAGGAGGAGTTAGCATCTGCTACCGCCGCCTGCCACCCACAAACTGTTTCTGCCAACGTCAAGAAAGTGTCCTTGTTGCACTTATATTGATCGGCCAGCTTCGGTTCTGCTTCGGGTTTGGGTACTGCGACTGGTTTTTGCCTCATTTTCATCAACCGCGGCGCCTGATCTATAGTAGCGTGACAGAATTTTTCGTTTTAACTTAGCTGCAGTTTACTGCAATATTTTCATTCTTCTTCTTCTTTAATTGCATAGAAACCTAAGAACAGCTGTTACAGCGATATGGCCCCCTTTTTGTCGGAAACTACAAGAACTCCGCGCTCACCCGAACTTGCCAGCTAATTTATTAATGGTTTCAATGGGGTGAGTTCGTAGATAAGACTATATGAGTGTGTGTGTGTATACAAGGTGTGAGTATGAAGTTTTTTCTCTCACATTCCGCTTGTGCTATGGCGATGAAATTACAGCTGATTTTGTTTTTCTTTTTACCTCTCAACTGTTGTAAGTTCGTTTGCGTGCAAATAATGTGAGGATGAGGCCTCTCTTTGGAAAGTAAGAGATGAATACAAAGCCATTTAGAAAATTGTTGAGATTATTTATATCACTAAAACCCTAAAGAGAGTTTCGGTGGGAGAGCAAGCAAAGCACCCACTGTCAGTGAACAGCTGCTATATTCCAGCCTGAAAATTATGGCGAGCTATTTTTATTTAGTTTTTATTTTTGACGAAATAAATCATAGGGAAATAAAAAATTAGATACAATAATGAAAAAAAAATTTAATATAAAATTCTTAAAAAAATAAAAAATAATAATATAAATGAAAATAGAATAAAATAAAAATTAAAAACAGTAAAAAAATAAATATTATAAAAATAAAATAATATTAATATAGAATAAAGTTAAAGAGAACAAAATAAAATAAATAACATATATATAAATCGTACTTTGTAACCACAGAAGCCGTTTTTGGGCCGAGCTCCTCCTCCAAATTTGTTGTTTGGCATTTTGATGTTTTTCCAACAAAATACAAATTTTATTAATTAATTTAAATTAAATTTGATTATATTAAACAATTAAATCGACATTAAGTAAAGTAAGAAAATTAATATAATCTAAAATAAAATAATATAATACGAAATAAAATAAAGCAATATAAAATACTATAAAATAATTAAAATGAAGCAAAAAAGTTAAAATAAAATAAAATAAATTAAAGCAAATAAATTAATAAAAAAACGAAAAAATTATCAAAGAAAATAATTTAAATTTAACTAAATAAAGTAAAGTAAAGCAAAATAGATAATAAAAATAAAACTAAAATAAAATAGTAATAAATTAAAAAAAATCAAAAAAATATATAAAATGAATTAAATTTAAAAATAAAATATAATAAATTATAGTAAAATAAAATTAAATTATATTAAATAAAATAATTTAAATTTAATTAAATAAAATAGAGTAAACTAAAATGAAAATAAAAATAAAACTGAATTAAAATAGTATTAAGTTCAAAAAAAAAACAAAAATAAAATAAAATAAATAAAAAAATTTAAGGTAAAAAATTATAGTAAAATAAAATAAAATTAAATTATATTAAATAAAATAATTTAAATTTAATTAATTAAAACAAAGTAAAGCAAAATAGATAGTAAAAATAAAACTAAAATAGAATAATTTTAAATAAAACAAATCAAAAAAATATATAAAATAAAAAAAAAATAAAATAAAATAAATAAAAATATAATAAATTATAGTAAATTAAAATAAACTAAAATTATGTTAAATAAAAATAATAAATAAAAAAACCTAATAGGATGAAATGAAACAAAATACAATACAAATTATGTAATGAAAAATACTTGTATATAAAAATTTAAATAAAGTTAAGAAACAAATTAAAATCAAATAAATTAATTTAACCAGTAAAATATTTCTTCCAAAAAAAAAACAACATAAATTTAAGTCAAATTAAATTATGTGAAATGAATTTTTTTTATAAAAAATACAATTGTTTTTTTTTCATTTAGTTTCATTTATTTTTATCATATTATTTTTTAAATATGTATACATATTAAATAATTATTATTAATACAATTAATAAAGTAAAGTTTTCATTAGTTATGTCACTTTTAACTATTTTGAAATATTTTATAGTAATTCAATTTACTAAATGTTGTTTTTACGAACAAAGTTTTAAGAAATAAAAATGCTAAATTTTTGGCAAACCTTTTCGGCTGCTTACATACATATATTACACATGTGATTTGTAAATTTTTCGTGACTTTCATTGAAAATTGTGTGAAATTTTTACAATGTTTAACAAGTTTTAAAATTTTGTTCTAATTTTTTTTTTAATATTATTAAATAAAAAACATGTGTATGTATTTTAATTTTGATTACAGCAATGTGATTTTCTTTTCAATAAATTTAATAAATCTTTCATTACATATTTAAGTCAGTGTCTTTAGATATTTATTTCATAATAAAACAGTTTTACTGTTTCTTATTTTTTTTTTTTCTAAATCTATGCTAATAAGTTTTCTTTCTGTACGTGGACCATTTCGGTTTGTTATTACCATAAATTTAAATACAATAAAATTTGATTAAATTCAGTATTAATGCAATTAAGTATTCAAAATACTTGGTAAATGTTTAAATATTTTTTTTTATAATTTACTGTATCCTCTTTCTCTTGGTTTAAAGCTTAAATTTGAATGTTAATTTTTCATTTAATTTAAAATATACGCATTGGTATGCTAATTAATTTCCCATACCACTTGTTGTGTTTGTAATATAAGTTTAAAGTCAGTTTCATTCAAATTCACTGTAAAATACTACAATATCTGTGCCGCTTAACTAATTCAGCTCATGTACAACAGAGAGTTTGCAAAATTAATATTTGTGTTTTGCGCGAATTATGAAAGCTTCTTAAGTACGAAAGCTCGCAGGATGGTACAACTTTATAAAAAGCTTTGCATGCCAAAAAATTGTATGCCTTTTCTGAGTTTTATGTTTGTTTTTTTTTTCAAAACTTTTCATTTTTTACTAAGTTATGCTGAATAAAAATTTAAGTGAGTTTGCATAAAATGTTGCTTAATTGTATTGTAAAACTATCATTATTTATCCGTTTTTATAGCTTTCTTCTTCTTCTTTTAATTTCAACCTACAGTGGCAGGAAATCGCTGAGTCTTTTTGTATGTGAAATTTGCGTGTTGTGTAAGTGCAATAACGAATGGCCAAGCGTGTTTCATCACTACACAAGAAGCGCAAATAAATGGACTGATTTGCGTTTAATTGGACAAAAATGTGTTAATGTGTTTATTTTTTTTTGTAATAATATACCATAGTTTTAACTTTATTTTATTTTAGTTTAAATTTTAATTTATCTTAATTATTTTATGTTATTTTGTTAATTTTTTAATTTGCCATATTTTATTTTATTTAGTCTTATTTTTGTTTCATTTCATTTTATTTTTAAAATAAAATAAAATAAAATAAAATAAAATAAAAATATTATTTTATTTTATTTTATTTTATTTTAATTTATATTACTTTATTTTATTTTCTTTGTTTTATTTGGTTTTATTTTATTTATTTTTTACTTTATTTTATTTTATTTTATTATATTCAATTTTATTTGTTTTGAATGTTTATTATTTAATTTTTGCTAAAGATCTTATAAAATCCACACTCCTTTTAGAATTTGCCTAAAACCAGGGCATTTTCATTTACATAATTCCGCATTAAAGGACACTAGCAAAACAGCGCTGAAATTGGCGATGTGTCTTCCGATTTTCATAATTTTTATTCTATTTTTTAATAAAGTATGCATAATTCGCGTTTAAAATTTTCTCCATGTTCGCTTACTTATATATATTCTTGTATACTGTACGCAAAGCTTTAATGCATCATATTCTAATTCACGATATAGACGACTCTCTAACTCTGTCAAGCTGATTTAGCCCATAGAATTGTGAGCACTCACAGTTCCGAGATATATTGCGCCTTAAAGTATGCTTACATTTTCTGAACTCTTTTCTCGATCCTAGGAAGATGAAGAGAGTTGAAAAGGGAAACGAACAGCCGACAAAAGAGAGTGGCCGAGGAAATGAAAACCTAAAGAAGCTGTCAAACAGGTTGAAAAGCATGATCTGAAGACCGATATTCAGAACATTTTCAGTTAAAGAGGAGGGAACAATATTCCAGCCCTCTGTCTTTGATGTCTTTTCATGTCAGATGACGAGTTAATTTCATTTTGCTCCCTACCTTAATCTCAGCTCTCTAACCTCGACTTAAATTGAGGGGAAAGAGAAAATCAGAAGAGGAAAAAAGATATTTCGGAGTAGTGAGCGCTCATAATTTTTTGAGTTAGTCAGCGTGGGATATTATTCTTTATATTTGCTACTAAACAATGGTATTCTGAAGGCTGTCACAAGACAACATCATTTCCTTACTCCGAGTACACAAGCGCCTAAAATTATGCTTTAAAAATTTTTCACTTTTCTAACCCTTTATAATTGCATTCTTGGAGCATACCTTCAGGCTGCAGGCTAATTGTGACTACGTATTTTGTGACTGGTCTCAGAATTATTTTCCCTAAAAGCAAGCCTTAAAGAATATTCCAACGATTCGAATTTATCCTACACGTTTCTTACTACGAAAATTCGCTTAACCTACAAATTTTAAAATTTTTCTCCAAAAAGTTAACTTTTTTTCCTAACCGAAAGCAGTACAGCGCTACCGACCTAAGCTGTGAAGTCAAGGCCGTGTACCACCGCATTCTTAGCCTTATCAACTACTCAGCTACAATAACAATGACACTTACATTCTACAAGAACAAAAAATGATGCCAAAAATTATCATTTTCCAAACTATTTCCATGAAGTCTACAGCTTTCATTTTTGGGCATTGCCTTTATCGTTAGCGAAATTGCACAAATTGCCGTTACCTTAAGCCGAGTACAGTGTGCTGCGGGGTTAGCATGGTGTTGCTTGGACGTGTATTGGGACAGGATGCGCGTGCAGAATTAGCTGGCGGCTACTTCCGAGACAGAGTTGGCGCGCCGCCGTTTGGTGATCTGTTTCCACAGACGGCGATTTAGCGAGGGTTTGTCCTGTAAATGGGCAGAGAAGGGTGAGAGCTGCGAAAAAATAAAAAACTAAACTGAATTGAGCTTTCTTACATTATCTTTACGTGGCGACATTTGTACGGCCAGGCGATGTACGGGCGTACCGCTGGCATTGGATTCACTTAGCGAGCTCTGCGAACAGTTCGGCGAGATCGGACTTTCCGAGTTGCGTCGCTTTATGAAGTTGATTCTGCAGAAATACAAAAGATTGTACTAATCTGAGAAAGTTTGCTAATCTTCCCTGCTGACTTCTTACTTACAACCGGTTTCCTTTGCCCGCTTCAATCAACGCACTCTCATCGCGTCCGATCTTGCGCGCACGCATGCTACCGCTCTCAGTCTCCATGCCCGTCAAAGTAGTACTCATCGCTTGAGGACTGCTCGAGGAATCCCTGCTGGTCATCGTTGATATTGCTGCCATTGTCAATACAGTTTCTGAGTTGTTGGTCGCCGCTGCCGCTGCCGCCTTCTTCAGCTCGGGCGTCGTCTTCGTCTTGACTCGTGAGCCACTCCTCAATTGAGACATGCAATATGTCTTCTCTCGTCTCGCTAAGATTTCTAGATCGCTTAACTTGCTGTCGTCGTTGTTGTAATTGTAACTTTTGCTGCTTTCGACGTCGCTTGCGTAGACGTCGTTGCTCCGAGCCGCAGATACAGAACTGCTCCATGTATTTCGATTTGGCTGCAGGGGTTGTGGAGCGCCGCCGACTCGCGCGCCACCAGCCACCAAGCCGGTCGGTAGCGTACAACTGCTGGCGCTCGGACGTGGACGTCGGTTCACTGTTGGCGTGTCCATCTTCGAGTTTCGCTGTTGAGAGAACGATATGACAGCCTCTTTTGGCTGTACGCGATTCGTTGCTGAACGACTCAATAAATCGCGACCCGTCCGTCGCTGAAATGTGGAGAGGTCGTGCCTGTGGAAGAAGCCCAAAATGTATTTGTCAGTAATCGCTAAAAATGATTTAACGTACCCCAATATTCTTGTTAGATCCGGACCAGGATCGTAGCAGATTAAGTCTTCGTCGCCGAGTATGTCGTGATTGAGTGCCAAACGCATCTCCAGTCGTGGACTTAAACCGGAACCAATTGGCGCTGGGGCAGCGGCCGATTTTGAAACGTCCTCGTTGCCTTTCGTCGTCGCCAGCGTTTTCGTCACTGTTTCGGCTGCTGCTTTCTCGTCCGCCCGGGTTCGTTGTTGGCGCTGCTGTGCCGGCGGTCGCTCCTTCGTCGTCTTCGAAGCTATTGTTGATGATGTGCAGGCTGCCTTGTTGTCGCCCGAGCCCAGCAGCGATGTCTCTATTATCGTTGACGATGCACGCTTTGCGGTCGTCAACGGCACGACGGTAACGGCGACAGCAGAACGCTGACTGCCAGCGGCTGTTGTCTGCCTCACTGTCGCCCTCGCCATCGCTGCCAACGGTTGTGCTTTTGTGGTAGGCGTAGCGACTACGCGCGGCACACTTGTGCTTGCGTCTGTGGTGCTGGCAACCGCTGAAGAGCCATCGTCAGCAGAAGCGCCAAAACTTCGTCGAGGAGGCGTTGGCTGTCCGTTTAAGAAAGGAGCATATTAATTCCGGGCCTCTATTGGACTCTAAATACATGCATACTCACCGCCTTCTTCAGTTCCGCGCCACTTGTCTGCAAGTTGCTTTGCGTTAGCAACAGTCGACGTGGTGGCGGCGGCGGTGGCACGAACTTCGCCGGTCGTTGCACAGTCGTTGTGTATACGTTGGTAGTAGTTGGGGTACTCACCCCACTGACGCTGCTGCAGCTGCTTTTCGCGGTACTGACGTTCGCGCTGCTGATTGTTATAGAAGTCGATGAAGGAGGTTGACTCCGTGGCGAGGGTGGCGTCTTGTTCGCATGCATCATCGTCGTTGTCGTCATCGTCGTCGTCGTCGTAGCCGCCGCCGCCATCATCATAGTAGTAGTACTCCTCATCGTCGCTTTCATCTCCACTTGCATCGTGAGTGTTTGCTGTGTGGCCGACTCGAGCTTCGTTGAGGGCTCCTCCGCCGCTATTGAGACCGCTGCTGAATTGGCTCTCGCCGTAGGTGGACTGTTGGTAATGCTGGTGGTGCGCAACGGTACCATTGTACGCTGTTCGAGTAGGTACTCGCAAGATGATTCCTTCAGCACAGCGACTGGTAGGCACGACTGATGGCTCGTCTGATGTGGCGGCTGGGACTGTGCGAATGCCTGCTGCCAGCTCGTTGGTATTGATGTCGGCGGTGGTATATGACCACGTATATGTGGTGCCGCCTTCTGGGCGCTGGCCAACGCGGGTTGTACATCCCTCGGTCTCGCCTCTGCCTCCGCCGCCCTCGCCTTGGCCTCCCGCTCCTCCAGTTCGTAGCTCTGGTCGTTCGAGAGATCCTCGTCGCTTGAGCTTCCAGCTGAATCCTTTAAATAGTGGCCATTTGTCGTTGTTTCCCCCTACCAATTGTTGGGAATAGAATTCAACTAATCAATTCTGGTTTATATGTAGCGAACTATATTTAAGTATGTCGGTGTCGTGTGGCAGTGGGTGGAGAGATCTGGACTGGAGAGTTGTCGGTGGATGGACGATGTGGAGGTTTGTGATGCGTGGGTGTGTGTTTGTGTGTGTGACTGAGTGGTGGGGTTTTAGGCTTGGACGTGGTGGGAGTTGGAAGCCAGTTCCAAGTGTTTTTTTTTAAGTTTTTTGTTTTCGGAAAATTCACCGTTAGTTACTAACATTTTCTTTTCATGGCTGAATTGATTGGTATTTTTGTAACTTTTATTTATTTTTTTTTTTGGAATTTACATTTTATTTTAAAAAACAGCTTTTGTTCAAATTTCCAAATTTTCGGTCAGAGGTAGTCGTTGTTGGTGTTTAATTGAGTTTAATGAAATTTTTTATTTTTGTAAAAATTGTTTTTGCTTTTGTTGCTGCGCCCACAAATGCCATTGAGCAAATGTCATTTCTTGATTTGTATGTATTGACAATGTTGCAAGCTATGCTAGAGCTTCACTAGTCGCACTACGACTTTCTAGAAGACCAAAACCAGTTACCAGTTACCAGATACCAGATACCCGTACACATACGAATATACAAACAAATAAGCAAATTGAGCGAAGGTGAGTGTGACGTGGTGTTAATGAGAACATGAGTGCACACATACATACATACATATACAGCAATGGGCAACAGAAAGGCATGAAATAGATGAAAAAGAATGAAAGCAAGAAAAATATATATGTATGTATAATGAAGAAAAGAAAAAAAAGAAGAAGATACAATAAAAATCATATGAAAGCAAAGATGAATTATGCATAAAATGTGATTATGTAGATGAGCATGTAACAGCGTTAATCGCAAAATATTCAACTATTCGATGGAAATTTTGCAAATAAATCGATTAAAAGCTGTGATCACTAAATATATACACTTACGTACATACAGATACAGATATTATATAAGGTGTTAGTATAATTGATAAATCTAAAATCGAGAAACTACTCATGCAAACGCTTTAAGCCGACCCACCTTTTTAACATCTTCACTCTCTTGTTGCGTCTTCTCCTCGTCACTTTCAGTCTCCTCCTCAAAGAGTGGCTCTAAGCGACGTCTACATTTCATTGATGAATTAAATGAGTTTTTTGGTTTCGATTTTTGTTTTTAATTAATGATTTCAAAATGATATAGTAAACGAGTATGTGCATGAATGATTTGAATGATAATCGAAAATACATACATATATAATATAATGAGTTTAAAATACTAGTAAAATGCTAAATCTATGTTTACATATGCAAGATTGGCGAAGACGCTTTGGAGAACTTAATTTAACGATTTACCAAACAAAATTGTAAGCTTTCGATTTATTCTTTCTCAAATTATTCTAACCTGGTTTATTTCTTTTCATTTAATTAAATTTAAATTAATTTTGTTTTATACAATTTTGTTTTGTTTTATGTTATTTTGATTTATTCATTTCTTGTTAATTTTAATTTCTTTTAACTAATTTTGTTTTATTTCATATTTCAGTTTATTTTATAATTTTTTTTATTAATTATCGATTTAACTTTTTGTTATTTATTTTATTTAATTTTATTTAATTTTTATTAAATTTTTTTAAATTTTATTTTAATTTTCTTATTTTATTATATTTAATTTAATTTTATTTTAAAATGCTTGATTTATTTATTTCGTTCATTTCAATTTGTTTAAATTACCTTTTTTGTTTATTTAATTTTATACTTTATTGTTTTAGTTTTTTATTTAATTGAATTTAATTTAATTTCATTTTATTTATTTTAGTTTAGTTCATTTTATTTATTTTTTTATTGTACTATATTTTATATTTAATTTACATTTATTTCATGCTGTTTTCTTTATTTTTTAGTTCACTTCAACTAACTTTATTTAATTTCATATTTTTGATTAGTTTATTCTATACTTAATTGTTATAGTTTTTTAATTTAATTTCAGTTTATTTTTCTTATTTCATTTCATTTTGTTTTATTTNTTATTTAAATTTATTTTATTTTATTTTGCTTTATTTTGTTTTATTTTATTTGAATATGGTTTGTATTGTTTAATTTTTTAAACAATTTTAGTGTATTTGAATGTTTTTTTGTTTCTAATTTCATAATCTTTTTATTTCATTTTAATTTATTTTATTTTATTTTATATTATTCCATTTGGTTTTGTTTTATTTTATTTCAGATAATTTTATTTTATGAATTTTATATTATATTATTTAAATTTTTTTTATATATTTTTATATTTGAATTTTTTTGAATTGAATATCAGCCGAGTTTCCCGCTAGTAATTAAAAGGATTTAAATTCATTTCAATAAAAAAACTCTTACTTTAGCTAGCGCTCATAATAATATCTAATAGTGCTGTTAAATAGAAGTGGAGGTATTAATGCACTTAGAAATTTTTAATGCGCATTATTTTGTTGTCGTCTGTCAGCGCTGTTTTGTTTAGATTTTATTGTTAGAAAATATTGACAACCTTGCAATTGTAAACGGTATATAATCAGAAAAGTACAAATAAATATGTAAAATCATTTCTACAATAAAATAATATATCTAAAGCCCGAAATCTACAATCAACGATAGAAAATTTATTACCTACATTAGCATTTAATTAATAATTAATAATATTAAATTAATTTACATCAGAAAGTTTTTTTTGTTAACCTAAAACCATGATTTGGAGCTCAATTCTATACATATATGTATCATTATTCTACTCTAGATTTCTACCTAAAAATTACTAAATTTTTATTAAGTCCACATGCCGTGGGGCATTAAAAATTATTTAACCTCAATAATCGATAAATTTAAGAAGAATTCAAGAAAATTAATTAGGTGATTTTTGAGAAAAAAAGTTCTATAAATCAAATATCTGATATCGATATCTTCTAAAAAAATCGAACTAAAAAATTGGTTTATCGATATCATCTAAAAATCGATTAACAGTCCATTTATAGAATCGAATTCTAATTTAAAAGTCAAATCTTTCTAAGTTACTGTAACGACCTTTTTTTCAATAATTAGCACGACTACAGTCACTATAATTAACTTATGAAAAATATTATGATAAAAAAAATTATTATTCTTTTACTAAAAAAAGTGACTCAGCAATAATTGCCTTCTTAAAAAAACTCTTACCGCGGCAAGAGCCCACGTATGGTGCTCGCTGTCATGGGTGGCGCCATAAGCAGTTCGTCCATCATAAGCTCGGTATCGTCGTCATCATTCAGCGAGTTGCTCGATTTGGTCGGCGACTGTGCGCAAATGAAAAATGAGTTAAAAAATATTTTTAATTCTACTTATGCCTTTAAGCCCTCTCAAACTTACCGAGTAGGTGTTCTCCGAGTTGACCAGCTGCATATCCTCATTATCGCCACCACTGGTCGGCGTGCCCCACACCTCCTCGCCCGAAGTGGCACCAGAGGTGCACTCATCGGCCTGCTCGTCGGTTTCTGAAGTAGTCGCCGCTGGTGAAGACATTGTTGTCGCCTGATCTTGATTCCATCTGCCCAAATATTTGTCAATGAATGCACGTGACTCTTCAAAGAAAGACATTTTGCTGCCACCAGCTAGGCTGCTCGTGCGACTTGTCCACACACCACCCACTAGCACACATGAGCTGCCAACGGCCATGCCGGCGCCGTTGCTGCTGCTGTACACACCGCCACCGCTGGACTTGCTGATTTCGCGCACATTATCCACCGTATCGGCGCGTGCTTTATCATCCAATTCATCGTAATCGTCTTCGTCGTCGTCACAGGCCGCATCGTCGCTACGATCATTGCCATTATCCTCATCATTATCCAATTCGTCTATTTCGCCATCCATGCGGTCATCGGAGGGCAACTTCTCTAGGCTGGACATTGTGCCGTAACGACGTAGCGTGTTACTCATCGGTCGATAGGGTGGCTCTTCGTCTAACGGCGACTCGTCACACGAGTCTTCTGGTATATTTTCAATGACCGCTTGATGTGGTAAGCTACTCAACTGCAGCTGTGTGGTTGTGCTCGTGGTTATATTTGTGCCACTATTGTCCCACACATTCGTCGTGGTCATGGTGAGTGTCGCCTCGGGTGTCGGTGGCACGACTGAAATAGTCGGCACTAGATCGGTATCGCGTATGGTGGCGTCCGTTGAAGGCTGGTACCCAGTGGTTGGTGTTGGCAGCGGCGCTGTAGGTGTTGTTGTCTTCATGTGCAATTGCTTCGCGGACAAGCCAGCGAAAATGAACGATGTGAGCTCATCCACTGCGCCCTCCAATGGCTGGCGGCCACAAACGCATTTACAATTTCTGTGCGTCCCTTTTTCTTTAGCGGTTGGCGCGGTTTGTTGTAGCGGCAATTGACGTGGCATTACTGGTGACTGCTTGGGCGACTCCAGCAGCTTGCAGGTCTGCTGCTCCAACTCGTCTGGACTGAGCGTGGTATTTTCAAAGTCGGCTGGCGTACATTGACAGTTGCACGGTATGTAGCGAGCGACTGATGCGGGTGTGCTGGGAGTTCTGGGCGATTTTGGCGATTTCGGCGTGTGCGGCGACTTTGGACTTTTCGTAGGTTGCAACTCAACGTGCACGCGTTCGGTCGGTTGTTCCGATTTGCGTTCATTTTGGTCCTGTGCACGTATGATTTGCGCTGTTTCAGTGATGGTGACCGTCGTTTTCACTTTCTTGTTTGCCGCCTCCTTTGTGGTCTCCTCAGACGCAGTTTGTAATGTTACACGGTATGTTCTAGGCTGTGGTTGTGGCTTTCCCTCGCTAATCCTCTGCAATACACTATTTGTGGAGTTCGTTAAACAGTAACCATTCAGTAAACTTGTCTCCTGCACTTGCTTCTGTTCCTGTTGCCGCGCCGTGGGCTGGGGCGGTACAGGCTTCGCGTCCAAGCCCCTCGCCTCGCAACGTTCATCTAAAATTCGTAGTTTATTGAAGCTGTCGGTGAGGCGTCGCTGCATTTCGTCAACACCGGCGACGCCACTGCTGCTGCTGAGTATGCCGCCGCCAATACTGTCGTCCGTGGCCTCTGATTGCGAAAGATCATCGGTTATTAATTGAGCTACATCGCTCTCTGTGTCACCGGTCTCACGTTTACTACTGCTAGCCACTACCTTGGATGAGTGTTCGCTGGGCTGTTCGCCCGTTATGGTACTTGATGATATGCTCGTGGTGCTGCCGGCCTGACTTGCATTTCCATTGAGTCTGCAGCAGCGATTAGGTGACGACTGACTGTGTTGCACCTTCAGTGAAGTGCACACCAGCGCACTGCCACTGCCGCCACCAGCACTTGGCTCGGCGTCACCACCGGCTGGTTGGTTTTGTATAGTGGACATGGCGGGTGGTGACATTGACTGTTGTAGACCCAAGGCCGCTTGTTGGCAGTTCTTATGGCAATGACGACAGACTGCTAGCTTATCGAGCACAATGGGGCTAGAGCGTACAGTGATCTGGCGGGGTGAGTATGAAGTAGTTTAGTGAGAGTAGCGGGAATGAGAAAGACATATGTAAGCGTATATGTATGTATGTGAAAGTGCGTCAACAGTCTACGCAATGAAGAGTAGTTATGTTAGTAAAACACCTACCTGACTATCCGATGTGGTGCTATGCGATTGACTAAGCTGACTCACATTCTCAGAGTAGGCATCACTCATGCTCAGCTCCTCAACGCCACTCAATCGTTTGCCACCAAAATTCGGGCGCGCCTTCAAATTGCCATTCTCCTTAGTCAAATTGAGCTCTTTCGTGCGCTTCTCCAATTGCTGACGTGTCCAGAAGGTGATGCGTTCATCCTGTTCATGCTCGGGGTAGAGCAGATGTTCTTCCTCGTGTGTGATGCTCTGACGCGAACGCTGGGCAGCCAATCTTGCCTGTTCTTGCTGTTTATCTAGCTGTCCTTTCATCCAGTTAGCGAGATGTAGCGCATTGGACTTGGATGTGCCGGTCTTGTTCAGTATGCGACACTTTTCATCGATGAGCATTTCGATTTGATCCGATGCATTCGAATGGCGCTTCTGCTGTGGGAGGAAAGTAAATCAGGCAAGCAAAGGTAGTGGTAGTAACACAATATATATATATATAATATAAAGGGTTAATGTAGGGTCGAAAATAGTGGGGTTCGATTATCCAGTCAACGGAGCTTAGGGTAAAAAATAGAAGTACCATTTGAAACGAAATCTCAATATCTTGGAGAATATATCAAATTTAAATTTATATTACTTTATTTCATTTTAATTTAGTTTATTTTAATTTAGTTTATTTTAATTTAGTTTGATTAATTTTTTTTTTGTTTTATTTTTTCATTTTGATTTATTTTATTTTTACTTTATTATTTTTTTCTTTTTTATTCAAATTATTTTATTATAATATAAATCATTTTGTTTATTTTATTTTTTTTATTTTATTTTATTTAATATTATTTTTATTTTCTTCTTTTTTTTTGTTTCATATTTTATTTTATTTTAGTTTATTTTAATTTATTTTTTTATTTTACTTAATTTTATTTTTACTTCATTATTTTTTTTCTTTTTTATTTAAATTATTTTACTATAAAAAAATCATTTTGTTTATTTTATTTTATTTAATATTATTTGGATTTTCTTCTTTTTTCTTTTGTTTCATATTTTATTTTATTTTAGTTTATTCTATTTTTCTTATTTTTCTTTATTTTATTTTGATTAACTTCATTTTAATTATTTTTTTTATTTTACTTTATTTTATTTTTATTTTATGGTTTTTTTTTCTTTTTTTATTTATATTATTTTATTATAATATAAATCATTTTGTTTATTTTATTTTATTTTACTTAATATTATTTTTATTTTCTTCTTTTTTTTTGTTTCATATTTTATTTTATTTTAGTTTATTTTTATTTATTTTTTTATTTTACTTTATTGTATTTTGATTTACTTTATTTTAATTAATTTTAATTTATTTTTTTATTTTACTTAATTTTATTTTTACTTCATTATTTTTTTCTTTTTTATTTAAATTATTTTATTATAATATAAATCATTTTCTTTATTTAATTTGAATTTATTTTATTTTGCTTTATTATATTTAATTTTGTTTCATTTTAATTTACTTTATTTTATTATATTTTTTATTTGATTTTATTTCATTCATTTGGAAATTTCGTTTACACTTCCCATACAATTTAATTTATTTTGCATTCGTGATATCGCTCCAATGAAGCTTCGTTAACCACCGGGAGCTTCTTTGTTACACACAGCGAACTCGATTCAGTTCAGGAAATGATTAGTCCACTACTCAGGGAAATTTTGCATCTTACGTAATATCTCCATCATGGATTTAGAAAATTAATATTGCTGAAAGCTATAGGGCAGTGTTTCAGTATCGAAAAATTCGAATTTGGCGATAGGGAAAAATACTGGTCTCCGTTCTTGCAAACCGTGCGCCTAAAACTATACCTCTCGAGCAAATATTAGGCATAGTTTTAACCGCAACAGACTGTCATTGCTCTAATTTTTGTCGGGTTTTTAGCATAAAAGAACAAAAATTGTTGTAATAAAATGGAAAATTGTGATGGTCTCATTTAAATTCCGTGCAAATTAACTACTTTTTTTGTTCTCAAATTAAAACTTGGATTCAAAACTAACTTTTACTACGGCATTTTACGTTCAAACTATTGCATTTGAAATGATATAATTATTTTATTTGTTAAATATTTCAACTACAAATACAAATCTAGTGTACAGTCTTTGATTAAAAACGCTTGTAAACAAATATTATTTAGGATTTTAGTATATTTTTGGCTATTTTCTTATAATAGTATATATATATGTATGTACGCACGAAATAAAAAGAGGAATTTTTATGATAGTTCTTATAGCTCAAATTTGAAAGAGAGGCCATCACAATTTTCAATTTTAGTATAGCTAATTTTTGTGCCTGTTTTTTGTATTATCATTTTTTTTTTTTACTTTTTTTTTTTTTTTTTTTTTTTTTTTTTTTTACATTTTAGAACATTTTTTGTTTAATTTTATATACTTTTCCATCTAAATAATGAAAGATTTTTTAATTTTTTTATTTAATTTTTTTGTCAATATTTTTTTTCTCACTAAAAAGTGTCACCAAGTCAGAGTTTGGTTTGTTTAGCGAAATCATAATTTGGAAAAGGAAAGGAAAATGCCACACTTGGGTGTGAGAGCAGCGAAAACTGAAAGTCGGAGAAAAGAAAAGAGGAAAAACTATCTTTCAAAACGACGAAATAAATTCACAAGCGTTTTTATTCAAAGAATCATATCATTTTTATTTATTATAATTCATAAATATCTGTCAATTTCAATTGCAATATATTTTTTTCAAAGTTTACTTTTTGCTTCAACCTTTTCAGTTTTGTTGTTTTTGTTGTTTAATTTGCGTTTAATGAAAATTAGTTTCTAATGAACAACAATTTACGTTGAGCGAATAATGAATTAATAATGTTTGTAACTATTTTTTAAATATTAATTTGTAATTGTAATTAAACTACGCTATAACAACTAAATATATATATATATATATATATTTGTGTATGTGTGTTTAATCAGTTTTAATGAATTCATTTTACAAGTTACTTCTATGCTATGCCATTATATGCATATGTATGTACTATGTACTTTGGTATGTATACGTATGCTATGTATGCGTATTGCTTACTAATGTAAATTATAGCGAGATTTTTAATTCCAAATTTCTTACTTTTGCTTAACAATAATTTTTGAAACTTGCTTAGCGTCTAATGCAGCGCGTGTTTTCTTTTTCTTTGCCTTTTGTTCAAAATATTTTATTGAGTTAATCATTATTATAATTACATAATAATTTGCTGTATTTTTTATTTTATATTTTTTATTTTATATTTTTTATTTTTTTTTCATTAATTTTTATAATAATAATAATAATAATAATAATAATAATAATAATAATTTATTATTATTATTATTATTATTATTATAATTATTATTATTATTATTATTACTATTATTATAATTAATATTATTATTATTATTATTATTATTATTGTATTAATTTACTTGCTCATGTTTTAATTTTATTTTATTTCATTTACTTCACATCATCTTTAATATATTCATTTAAATTTGAATTTATTTTATTTTAGTTGATTAACTAAATTTAATTTAATTTTATTTTATTACTTTTATTTTATTTTAGTTAAGTTTATTTATTTTTACTTAATCTTTTTTATGTAATTTTTATTAATCTATATATATATTTCTTTTCTGTTTTATTCAAGTAAATTTTATATTTTTTTATTTGATTTTATTAGATCTTAGTTTTTTACTTTTTTTTTAGCTTAGTTTATTTTATTTTGTTTTCTTTAATCTTTTTTAATTTTATTTAGTTTTATTTAATTTAATTTAAGTTTTGTTTCATTTATTTAATTTGGTTTGTTTTTTTTTGTTAATATTATTTTGTTATATTTCTATATTTTTTAATAAATTTTTAATTTTATTTTATTCTATTATATATTATTTTACTTATTTTTTTTTTAATCCTATTTTGTTTTATTTAATTTATTTTATTTTATTTGTTTTTATTTATTTATATATTTTTGTTTTGTTCTGTTTTTTATTCTTAATTTATTTTTAGTTACTTTATTTTATTTTATTTCTTTATATATTTTATTTTTTATATAATATTTGTTAAATACTGTTATTTTATTTTCATTTATTTTATGTTTATTATATTTTATATTTTATATTTTTTATTATTTGTTTTTTTTTTTATTTTATTTTTTTATTCCATTTAAATCTTATTTTGTTTTAATTTACTTTATTGTAATTTTTATCATTTAATTTTGTTTTATTTTAATATTTTTATTTAATTTAATTTTATTTTCTTTATTAATAAATATTTTTTATATATATTTTTTTTTTTATTTATATTATTTTATTTATATTGTTTTATTTGAGTTTTTATTATATTTCATTAGTTTTCTTCCATGTGTTTGTTATTTAATTGTTTTTATATTTTAACTTTTATTTAGTTTTGTTTAATTTTTAGTTTTAATTAATTATTTTATTTTAAAATATTTAATTTTCTGAGAACTTCACTTTATGAATTGATTGTAAGTTGCATTTCGCTCGATTTTTTTTTCTTGCTGCTTAATTAACGATTTTTTTTTTTTTTTTGGTTTTTGCTTACTGTTTGTTTGCGTGTAAATTTGTACTAACTATAAAAAAAATTGAGCTCTCTTTTGTAAAAAGGAATATTTTCAATTGCAAAAGGAAGTATTTGGAAGCATATTGGTGGTGAATTTCGGACTTAGCTTAAGTTGTTTAGTATTTTTTTTTTTTTCATAAGTGTTTGAAAAATATATATACAAAATCGTAAATCTTAAAAAAGTATCAAACCTAAATATAATAAAGTGGCTACGCTACATACAAATTGAGCCATATTTCCTTTATTTGTACTAGTCTTATTATAAATTTAAATTAATTGTATTGGAAAGTACTAATCACTAACACCTTTCTAAAAAAAATGTCAACTTGCGGTTCTGCTAAAGCCCACTTCGCAAGTTTACTTTTTGAAAGAGAAAAAGAACTTTCGGAAAGTACTTTTTGGTATAGGTTTGAAAAGTAAATTATTTAATTGCAACAAACGTTTTGAACTGAAGTGGCAGACACACCTTGCAAGTTTACTTTTCGAGAAAGAAAACACACTTTCGGAAAGTACTTTTTTGTAAATTATTTAATTGCAACAATAGTTTTGAATTAGCACTTTCGGAAAGTACTTTTTCGTATAATAAAAATAATTATTTATCAAAATTCTAAACATTTTGCAAAATTTTTTTTTCGTCAAATCTGTTACATTAGATTACAAGAAAATTTCGATAAACTAATTTGAGCTCTACTTCTTCTTTGCCATGCCGAATTGCAAGTTTAGGATAAAAAAGTAAGTTAAATTACATAGTTATTTTTGCTATACTCTTTTGCTACAAAATTTTCTTTAAAAATAAAAATTAAAAATAATAATAAAATTAATTTTAAAAATTACTTGCTAAAGTTTCATAATAAAATACATACATACATACACATCACTACATTTAAATATAATAAAATTTTCAATTTCAACAACTTATGCGCTAATGATTTCTAATAAGAATTAAAATTAATTAAAAAAGTGTCTACCTTTCTTCACATCCTCTAATATTAGCTACGAAATTCTTAATCAATAATAACAACCTTTTATTTAATTTTATTTTTCTTCTTTAACTACTTACTTGCAAATACAATAAATGAAGTAAAATGCCATTTAATTAACAATTTTCCATTTAGTTTGAAACGCAACGGCAAGCAACCGAGCGCTTGAACGAAGTACAGTGATGGGCGAAACAGTGTAACGAGTGATGAAGTGTGCGCGTCAGGACTAAACTGTAACTAGTAACGCTCTGAACTATAAGCGCTATACATGAAAATGCAACGATTTCTTACTCACATGCAAATCGGCATTTTATTTTACTACTAGTTAGTAACTAGTTTCGTAAAGAGTTGGGTAACAAGTAGTGTAACTAGTTTGGTAACTGGTTAAATAACTAGTATTTTTTTTTATTACTATTTGAAATTACTCAAGCTCTAATTCACTACTTATGCGTTCTGTCTCTCCCTCTCTCTCTCTCTCTCTCTCTCTCTCTACTTTGCTATTGTTTCTTTTCTGTGCTGTTGTTGTACACCTGCTGCTTGGCTCAGTTTGTCGACGCGCACAGCACAACGCTGCACACACACGTGGACCACAAAGCGATCTCTGTTAAAGTTGAGACATTTTGGGGGTTAAGAGCGTATGCATGAGAAAACAAGCTACTAGTAACTACTGGGTATTCACGATACGCAATGCAAGAGTGCATGAGAAGCGTAAATAGCAACCCTGCTTGATCAAGGTAATGAAAAACTTATACTTTTTAAATAAAAATAAAATAAGAATTAATTTCAATATATTAATATCAGAAAACCTGCTTTTCTGCTGCCCAAAAATGCAACTCTTCAATTTGAATATTTTAAAAAGTCTCCTTTTTTTAATTTTGAGTAAATTTTCGGTTCTTTTATGATCTATATTTAACTTGTTTTATCTGCAGGGTTGCATTTTTCTCGCACTAAACTGTACCGTGTGCTATAGCTCGTGCATACTCCTAAGGACTACAGAGCAATACTGCGATAGTAGTTGTGGGCGCGTGCATATGAGTGACAGGGACGAGTAGCTAGCGGCAAGTGGTATCTCGGTGGTATGGTAGCAAGTGCGCGGTGGTTAAGAGATGCGGTGCGGTTTGTGTGGGCGTGCAGGGTCATTATTTTGTTATTTTTCTTGTAAATTTTGTGATTTTTTTGTTTTAATCTTTAAATCGGTGGAGAGTAGAAGAAGAAGTAAGAAGTAAATTTATAAAACAACCATTGATTAAGCTCATAATTGAAAAATGTGTAGACGTATTTTTGGCATCCATAGTAGCCACGCCCCCTCTCAGAACACCTATGTCAGTTGAGTTCACTCTCTAGTTACTCAGTACTTGATATTCAATATGGCAACAGTCAAAGTCTTCCTCATCTAAATCCTCGTCCTCCTCAAATACACCTGCGTCCTCTAGCCAAAAGTCAAATCACAGATCCAACGAGTCTGGTGGTGTGGGTTTTGTAGGCAGCACACCGAAGGGATCGTCGACCACAACGCTCACATCGATCTCATCATCTTCGTCCAGCTCATGCTCATCGGCCATAAATATGCACTCCTCCACGTCGGTATCATAGGAGGGATCAATATTCACCTCCTGCAGATTCATATCCAGCTCCACAAGATCCCATGAACCACCGAATTGCGCCAGCGGTATGTCTTTGGTCGGTGGGTGTGGCTTGGTGAGCATCTCCTGCGTCTCTGCATTACCATTGATCTTACCGCCCGCATTGTCGCCGTTCAGTGCCAACTTGTTAGGCTTTTCGTTTTCCTGTGTTTTTATATTTTGTGTGGGCACAAAATCGTTGGAGAATGCATCCGAATTGCATGGCTGTGAGGAGGGCGAAATGTTCGGCGTGGGCGTTTCAGGTGTCGTAAGTGAATAGTTTTGAGAGTCGTTCGGACGCGCCACATCTGTTTCGTCAATGAACGAGCGACCCACAGAGCTCAGCGAGAACTCAAGCAGCTTTGGTGGTCGGTGTGCGGTGGTGTTGATTGCGACGCCTGATACAGCGCTGCGTACACTACGCGCCGGCGTGGACATGGCTGCCTGTGTCGTTTGCAATGCACTCTCGCTACGTCGGCTCGGCCGATTGCTATTCTTGGCCGTTGTCGTCACGCAATAGCGTCCCTGGCCATCGATCAGTAGCAAACGCTCACCGCCATCAGCGCAACGTTGTTGCAGGAAGAATGTATCTATGTCATGCTTGGCATCGGCAGCCGTGGCTTCACAAGCCGCCTCCGGTATGGCGGTTAAACACTTGCAAGTGGGCAAATGCTCACCCGAACACAGCGTTTGCGTATTAAGGCTGCTGCCGCTCAAACTGAGCCACGTACTAGAGTTGTTGGCACTTGAATTGTAGGCACGCGCTGCGGCCAGTGGACGTGCGTCCAATTGCTGCGCTACAAGGTGTCGACGCGTGAGTGTTAAGGAACGCAATGAAGGCGCACTGTCTGTAAGTATACCACAACCACCACCACCACCACTGCCACCGACGTGACCACCAAGGCAACCTGTGAGTGTGTGACGCGCCGGCGATGCAGTTTGGGAGGAACAAGAAGCCGTACGTGTGGTTTGTGTCATGCGTGTGCTGCAGCGCGAAGCGACCAGTGTACTTGCGAGACGTTGGAGGTTTTCATAGGAATCGCCGGTGGCCAAGTGGCCACCATGACGTAATAAACGCACCTGTTGCTGGCTGTTCTTCGCATTGATGCTGTCCATGGACGAATGTTTGATGGAGCCAATGGATGCGGAGGCTATACCAATATCACTAAGTGGCACTAAAGTATTGAGCACATCGGGAGAATCCAGTGGACTGGAGAGCGGCGTTGAGCCGAGCGCGGCATTCACGAGGAAACTGTAAGAGCGATGCATTAATACATATATATATATATATATATTCAAGGAAACAGATGATAAACACACATTTGACGCTGCAAGAGATTCTGCCAGACAGCCTTTAGCTCCAGCGAGGGCGCACGCAGCAGCAGACTTTTCCGGCGCGCGCTCTTCTTGGGTGTGCGTGTTAGATCGGGTGCACAATAACCAGTTGGGCTCTCAGCCAGGCGGCCATTCGGGTCAACTGTAAGACGGAACTCCGTAGCTGCAAGACAAGAAAGAATAGAAACGGTTAAATATATTGCAGACTTCTAAGCCTACTACGCTCACTCACTCTTTTTACGCATGTGAAAACACGAGTCCACAATATTCGCAATCGGTATGGGCTCCTCCGTTATGAAGAGTACACGGTCGCGACTGACCTTTGCAAACACGATGATATCACTAAAGAGCAAGGTCCAGTAGGGTTTCACAGAGCGACCTTCCACGCGTGACAGATCGCCACCGAAAATCCATTGGCGGCCCTGTACGGCCAGCGTGAATGGCTTACACTTGGTGAAGACCATGCGGGACTCAAGATCTTGCAACGTGAGCAAAGGTCGGCCCTCGCCCAATGGTTCCATTAAGCCACTACTAACGGTAATCTCACGATAGGCAGCCTGCAGCTCTGCGATGACAGTAGTAAAATTCTTATGTTCCTCCGTATCAACGTGACAGTTCGAAGCGAGCAATTGCATGAGCTTGAGGATTTCGCGAAAATGTTGTAGCGGTCGGTGTATAAACATCGTGAGATCTGGACGCTTGCGCGGCACTTGCGGTTCGGTTATGAAGGCCACAAAATCAGAGCCCATCTGACGCGACTTGTTCACCTGGAAGGAAGGAAGAAAGGAAGGAGTAGCGCACAAGTCCACAAGAGTACAGTTTCTGATTAACATTTCCGACTCACCAGCACACAATCGGCACGCTTAATGCCATTGCAGTACTTCTTGTAGGCCGCACAAATCGCCGTGGTCTTCGAGAGATAAACACGTGAGGCGAAATTCATTTGTGGCTCTTGATCATCATTGCACAGCTGCTCCAAAATATCTTCGGAAATGCGCAAAAGTTCGTCGATATTCTGAAAGAGCGTACGATGATCATTTGGCGAGATGAGATCTTTACGTTCCAGCAACGGTTGTACGAAGCGCTGCATGCCGAAGTGCAGCGCAGAGATGAAATTCTGCTCACGACTAATCAGCTGCAGCAGCAAGCGACGGCGGTTGTCGGTGATGGGGCCGATGGACTGCGGTAAGAGGCAGAGGAGAGAGGAGAAGAGAAAAGAACAACTAAAGCTAATCGAATAATAACTCTCATTTTAATGTTCTGTAACTGTAAAGGGCTCAAAAATGTGTGGAAACAAACGTCAAACCCAAAAAAAAAATAATAAATAAATATAATAACACAAAAAAAAAATTAAATTAAAATAAATAAATACTAAAAATAAAATAAAGGGAAATAAAATAAAATAAAGAAACAAAATAAAATAAAATAAACTAGTAAAAATAAAATAAATTGAAATTAATAGAATAAAATGAAAGAAATAAAAAAAGTATTAAAAAGTACATAAAATTAATAATTTAAATAAAATAAATAAATAAATTTAAAAAAATTTTAAATAAGATTAAATTAAATTAAATTTGCAAAAATTAGTAAAAATAAAATAGAATAGAAAAATATAAAAAATGAAATTAAATTAAATTGGTCATGATGAAATAAAAATTAATTAATAAAAAAAAAACTAAAATAAATAAAATTGTTAAATTTATTAAGCAAAAATTAAAATTAATTGAGATAACAAAATAAAAAAATTAGATTAAAACAAAAAAAAATTCAAAAATTTTAAAAGGCAAATTAATAAAATAATTAAAAAATAAGATTAAATTAAATTAAATTTGTAAAAATTAGTAAAAATAAAATGGAATAAAAAAATATAAAAAATGAAATTAAATTATTTTAATATCATTATGACAAAATAAAAATTAATAAAAATAAATAAAATTGTTAATTATATTAAAAAAAAATAAAAATTAGTTGAGATAACAAAATAAAAATATTAGAATCAATTATAAAATAAAAAGAAAATTAATAAAATAACATAAACAAATAAAAAATAAATAAAATAAAAATAAATGAATATTAAAAATAAAATAAAGTGAAATTAAGTAAAATAAAGAAACAAAATAAAATAACCAAAATTAAATAAAATAGTAAAAATAAAATAAAATGAAAGAAATAAAAAAGTATTAAAAGGTATATAAAATTAATTTAAATAAAATAAAATAAATAAATTAATTAAAGAAAATTAAACAAATAAGATTAAATTAAATTAAATTTGTAAAAATTAGTGAAAATAAAATAGTATAAAAAAATATAAAAAATGAAATTAAATTATTTTAAAATCATTATAACAAAATAAAAATTAAATAAATAAAAAAACTAAAATAAATAAAACTGTTAATTATATTAAAAAAAATAAAGATTAATTGAGATAACAAAATAAAAAAAATTAAACTCAATTATAAAAAAAAAATAAAAATAAAAGAATTATTAAAAAGAAAAGAAAATTAATAATATGTTACAAACAAAGAAAATAAAATAAAAAAATAATATAAAAATAGAAATTAAGTAAAATAAAGAAACAAAATAAAATAACCAAAATTAAATAAAATAGTAAAAATAAAACAAAATAAAATAAATTGAAATTAATAAAATAAAATGAAAGAAATAAAAAAAAATATTGAAAAGTATATAAAATTAATTTAAATAGAATAAAATAAATAAATAAATTAAAAAAATAAGTTTAACTTAAATTAATAAAATAATGGAAAAAAAATATAAAAAATGAAATTAAATTAAATTAAATTGGTCATGATAAAATAAAAATTAAATAAATAATGAAACTAAAATAAATAAAATTGTTAATTATATTAAAAAAATAAAATTAATTGAGATAAAAAATAAAAATAAATTAAAATAAAAACAATTAATTTAAATTAAATTAAAAAACTGAACTTGAGTTAAAGCTTATTAACTTAAATTGAGTTAAATAAAATTATTATAATAAATTAAATTAAGTTACATAAAATAAAAATAAAAATAAAACAAATTAGAATTTATTTAAAATTAAATTAAATTGTTATAAGTAAAAGTAAAATTAAATTATTAAAAGTAAGTAAGTAAGAGTAAGAATAATAAAGTAAAACAATTTAAATTTACATAAAATGAAACAATATTTATTTTTTTTTGTAATGAATATCAAATAAGCGTTTATTGTCAACAGCAGCAGCTTTTCTAAATATAACTACAACGTTTGAAGCAGAACTTATAAGGGAAAAATTAATTTAACAGCAATTTGTGTATTAAACAAAAACTTAAGCAAGCGTGAGGAAAACATTTTTATTTTTATATATGTAACAATGTATTTGTGTATGTAAATTAAAATAAAAATTATTATTAAAATATATTTTAAAGGCTTATTTATGACATGTTTTCATAGAAATATTTGACATAACATAGTCTCCAATGAGATTTATTCGACATTTAACGGTAAGAGAAAAAGTAGAAAAAAGTACTTGAGCAGCTCGTGTCCTTATGTGGTTGCCATAGAGCGAAAAAAAATATTAGAAAAGTCTCCAACGGGTTTCGTTCGCTCCAAAAGCAATAAAAAGTTATTATTTATATTTTCTTAAAAGCTTTTATACTCTCCAATGCGATTTATTTGACATTTGATAGCAACTAGAGAACTATAAATATAATTTTAATGGCAATTGCCTTTGTTGGCTGTTGCCATAAAGCGAAAAAAATATTTATTATTCGCCACTTTAAAAATCTCTTAGTCTCCAATGAGTTTTATTAGATGTTTTATCTGAACAAAAACTCATTTTGACAGCACAATTCATTTGATGGTGGCCGATAAAAATTATTATACATCACTCCAGTAGATTTTATTGAAATTTTCGGACAACTAGAAATGTCACCTCGATGACACGTGTCATTGTAGTGCTAGAGTAAGTTTATATTATATTAATTAATTTACATCTGAGTGGAGATTTTTCAACATTTTAAAATATTAACTCATTTTATTGTGTTGAATTTAGAATTAGCCGCTAATTCCATAGAAGAGTTTAATTCACCTTAAAAATAATTTTTCAATTTTTTAGTTTAAATTCTACATTTAAGGTTAAATCTCAGTGGAGACTTATATTGAGTTATAGAAATTTTTTCAACAATAAAATTATTAATTTTTTTTCCATTATTAAATTAGATGTATTTTGTTTTTCTTTGTATGTTAAGTCAATAATCTATTGGAGACTTAAATTAAATCACGCAGTGGAAACATAGCTTTAGGTTAATCAAATGTATGCAATTTTAGTGATAATGGCTATTAAAATAATAATAAAATATTTTTAAATGAATTATTATTAGTAAAATGTTTTTAATAAATTATTTTTTATATTATTAATAAATTATAATTTTTTACTATTAAAAATTAGGAAATATTTTTAATAATTTTATAGGTTTTCTTAAAAAAATTAATTTTTTTTAATTTCTTAATAAATTACTAAGCATGAATGGCACACATTAATTTAGAATTTATAATTTTGTACAAAAGTTTTAACTGTTTTTTAGTCTTTTTTTCAAATAAATAAAAATAATTAATTTTTTACCGCAAAAATGATGCAAAAGTAAAAAGCTCTGACTAAAAAAAAACGCTGACGGCTTAAGCTAATTTCGAACGTCAGTTTAGGCAACTCTGTGCGCTAAGCAATAACTGCGCTACTGAATAAAAGTGTTTATTTAGCAAAAATTTCAAAAAATTTTAAGAAATTTAAAAAAAAAAATTTAAAAAATTTAAAAAAAAAATTTAAAAAATTTAAAAAAAAAATTTAAAAAATTTAAAAAAAAATTTAAATATCTTAAATAAACTTTAAAAAATCTAAAAAAAAATTAAAAAAAAAGAGTTAAAAAATTAATTTTCGTTAATTTTTAATAAAAAAAAAATATTTTTAATTAAAAAAATAGAACTTTTTTAAAATTAAATAAAAATTATAAAAAGCTGACATTTTAGTGTCTTAAACTAATTTAACGAAAATATAAAGTGATAAATAAACTTCGCTCCACACTAAACTTAAACTTATAAATTCGTTCGCGACAACTTCCTTGCAACACCATCTCAACCACTTCTCCGTCACTGTTCCGTCAGACAATGACGCCCTTGCCTACCTCCTTGCTGAATGTGACCTGCGGCAGATGTAAACGCCGTTTCGCCGCCTCAATGGACGAGGTAGTACCGCCTGAGCAGGCTGTGGACGGACGTGCATTTGTTACAGCACTTGTGACTGCGACTGTCATTGTGCTACCGGCGTTTGTACCGACTGCAGCGCTTGGTAATGCGCTTGCCACCGCAATGCGACGCTGTGTCGTTGAGGCGGGACCCCCCGTAACTGATTGTTGTTCATCGCTTACGGCGCTAGCAAGACGCGTGCTGGACGAAGCTTTGCCATTCATGACCGGCGCAGTGGGATGACCACGACTGCCCACGCTAAGCGCTGGCGGCATTGATGGCATTGAAGCCAGTGCAAGGCCGCCACTAACACCACCGCCACCGCCACCGCCACCAGCTGCCGGTCCCGTACGTCTAAACACCTCCAGCGTGAGGGTGGAGCCTTGTGAACGTATTAAATTGAGCACATCCGCTTCGGGCATTGTCACCACATTCTGTTTGTCGACGAAAATCACATAATCACCCGGTTGTATGCCCGCACGATCGGCCGACAAGCCCGGCTCGATTTTTTCAACACGTGGCGGATGTGTCCAAACAATGGAAAAGCCAAAACCACGTTCAGCAGTACGCGTCAGTTTCTTTGTCATTGTGAATGGTGTGCGTCCGATGGCCTTACTGCTGCTTGAGAGGCGACGGCCACTCGATGGCGTAGCATTAGCGGCAGTTGTGGGCGCACTCGCCTCCGTGGGTGGATCCAGTTCGAGGAAACGCAAAAATAGATTCTCATCGGCGTCACGCTGATGCAAAGCCTTCCGGCTCAATGTCATCGGATGTTCGATATTGTTGCCAGCTGTCGCCTGTGCCATGCTGTCGATGCTCATGACGTCCTCATCGCTTTTCTGGCGTGTCAGTGTTGATGTCATTGTGGCTGCGGTGGCTGCGTTTGTGGCGGTGGCGGCGCTAACGAAACGTCCCGACTCGGGCACAATTGGCTGTGGGTTGGGTGCGGGTGCTGCAGCTAATGCCGGTGGTTGTAGCGGTTGGGGTTTTGTATGTATTTGATAGTGTGTAACGGTCTTCTGATTGCTATTATGTGCTGTTGGAGCCGAGCTTTGCTGCGTTTGTACTGCGGCTACGCACGTAGATGGCAATAAGATGGGCGGCTGTGGCTTAAGTAGACATGCCTGTGACTGTAGCTTGTAGAAACCGTTAACGGGTTGCTTTAGCAATGTTTGTAGTGGAAAGGACATACATCCTAGGAACTCGCTGCGTCTGCAAAGAGAATTTTTGGGGAAATATTAGTATAAAAATTCATTATTATTTAAAAAGAGGGGAGAGTGGGGACGTACATATGTATGTATGTAATTGGAAAAGTATTTTAATAAAAATTTAAATACTTAATAAATGTGTTAATTTCAGTGCGATTATGAGCTCTTAACTAATACAAATGGTTTTTTTATATTTTTTTTTTAACTTTTCAGAAATGTTTTTTTTCTCTTTTTTTTGTTGATGGCCAGCATTGAAACTAAAGGTTATAAAAAAATTATATTTCTTGAATGTAAATAATTTTCAGACTGTCAATATTAAATATTTAAGGAGACTATAAACACCTAGCTCAATGAAATTTTTTTTAATATTTTTTTTTTTTTTTGTAATATTCTAAAAATAAATATTGTTTTTTTTTGTGGTGTTGATACGGTTGACTTTAAGCCCCTGGCATAAAGAAAGTTGTATCTCTCTGTTTTCTTGAGAATAAATGTTTTGTCAGTATAGAATTTTTTCAACTGAGTTAAAATTTTAAACATCAATTTGTTTTAATATTTTTTAAATTTATTTAGATTGTTCAAAGGGAAGATAAATATGAGCCGCTAAAAAATAAAAAAAGCATTTTTAATATATTTATTGTCTACACACTTCACAAATATTTTTTATAATATTTTTAATAATTTTTTTTTTCAATGATATTTTTTTTGTTCCGTTCCTCTTAGATCTACTAAAGGAAAGGTCGTGTTTCATTATTTTTATTTTTTTTTTAAATAACTGTTAGCATTAATTTTTTTTTTTATTTTAAATTTTTTTTTGATTTTACTAATTTTATTTTTAATATTTTTATGAATTTTACTTCTGAACTCTTCAGAAATTTTAATTTATTTTTTTGTTTTTCTTTATAAATTTTACTTTTGAATTTTTCAGAAATAAATTTATTTAATCAGCTGCCAGCCAGTTCTAAGTTTTTATTATTTCTTAGCTAAAATTTCTATTCAATAGTTTTGAAATGATTTTTGTATTTTTTGATTAAAAAAATTTTTTTTTTATATTTTTAGTAAATATTTTTTTTAATTTTTTTAGATCAATATTTTTAGTACGTAATGTTATACATTTTTTTATTAAATTTTTTTTAAAATTTTTTTTGTTTTATTTTTTAGGAAAAAAGTTTAACATATTTTTTTTTAAATTCTTAAACATTTTTGTTTAATATTTGCAGTAAAAAATAGTTAATATTTTTTAAAAAATCATTTTTTAAATATTTTTTTTTAATAATTTTTTTTTATTTTTTTAATAATTTTTTTTTTTATTTTTTCTTTGTAGTTCTTGTTTTTGTATTTATTGAACTTTTTAAATATATTATTCATATATTATATATAAATAAATAATTTTTTTTAATATTTTTAGTGAATAATTTTTAAACAAATTTTAGTTCTTTCTTTTATTTTTATTTATTTATTTTTCTCCCCTTTTTTAAATTAATGTATTTTTCCTATTTCAATGAATTAATGGTTAGCTCTCGTTGGTCAAAAAAAAAAAAAAAACTTTTTCTCCAAATTTTATATTGTTATTCTACTCAGCCTGCTGGCGTTTAGTTAATTTGTCTTATCCTGCTCTTGCCCTCGCACGAAGCGAACTAAAAATGCAAACGAATTTTTCCGCTTTGTACACAAGAATTTGTAATGCGAGACTTTATCTCGCCACCTAATCACTGCCAAGAGGAAAGACTATAAATTCAAGTCACTACTGCCTTCAAGCGATAACCTTCGCCGACACCCACGAGCTTGCGAGAGTGGCAAACGCAGCAAAGAAACAAAAAAAAAGCAAAAAATAAAACAAAAAAGTGTAAAATATCGTAATGCAGTAAGCAAAGGAGAAGAAAATTTTGCGCATAAGAAACACAAGACGCAAATTGTTGCCAAGAAATCGTCAACAACAACAACAACAGCATTAAAATTGACTATGTGCATTTCCGCACACACACACACACATATACATATGCACAATAAACTCGAAACTAAAGTAACGGAAAGCAGCAAACACAAAAAATTGCAACTATTACAAGTGGTTGAGTTGTAGGCAACAACAATAAAAGCAACAACTTCCGTTAACAAAAAAAAATGGCATAGCTATTTAAGGACGTCAGTGATGGAAATGTGTGAGAGAGGGGGTTGTGAGTGTGAGTGCGTGAAACTGTGAGTGAGCGGGTATGAGGGAGCGCTCTCTGGCTGATGGAGGAGCAGTGGGTGGCTAGTCTATGAGGTAATATTTTGCGTCAGCAATTGGCTGTTGATTGAAGTTGAGTAGCTGACAGCGTAAATGCACCATCAGCAGCATGACCACAGTGGCTGTAAATGGCAAAACAACCATTAAGTGGTTGAGAGGAGGGAAATATCGAGAGTGAAGCAACCAGGCAAACAGGCGATATTATGGCAACCGAAAATAAGTCTGCGCAAGTTAGTGTCAAAACTATTTAGGAACTTTTATTGCTATTTAAATCACTTTACTCACTCTCTCTTTAAAAAGCGGACCATTTTTGAAAACATTTTTTTTTAATCAAATTTAGGTTTATTTTTTTTCGTACTACGGTCGGAGAAAGGCATAGATAAACATCCATCAAAGACGTTTTTAATATCATCACAAGTGATTTTCAGCTTAAAAAAAAAATACTAAAAATTTGTATTGTGAAAAAAATTTGTTTTCTAAGAATCGCAATGAGTTTATAAACAACAACTTTGGGAAAAAATTAATGAAAATCCAAATTCTTTTAATATTTCTTCCGATTGTCGCTCTATAAAAAGTCGTCAATTCTACAAAAACCCCCAAAGCATCAAATTTTTAAAAGCCCCGCATGCCGTAAACTGAACTTACACGTACTCTGCAAAGAATTATTTCATAATAATAAACCGTTAAGCTTGAAAAGCAATAACTCATTCACTTTGAACCATATTTATACCACTTTTTATACCATTTTTTATGTGTAAAAAACACATCTATGCTCTGAAGCATACCAACACACCACAGTGTATGAGTTTATTGCACAACTAAAAATGAAATTTCAAATCTAATCGCTTTAGAATGTTGCATTTTATGTTGACGCCATAAAAATGTGGATATAAAAATAAAAATTTTGCAGAAAAAAATTTGAAAATTTTATGGCAAAAGTAACAGCAAAAGCAACAGCGGTGGAGCACCGTCCGTTCATATCACCGCCGTTGTCCGGCGTTTTGTTCATACATACAGACATATGTGTGTGTAGATGACTTAGTCACGCGCGCCGGTCATCGATTTTATTTTGGCAACAAATTAATTTCAAATTTAAAAGATTTGTCAGTTCTGTCGCCGCACTTTTCGTACACTTGTTTGCTTACTGTCTTGCGCTTTTTTGTTGCTGATTTTTTGTATGTGTTTATTTTTTTTTATTTTATGGCTTATTTTGTATTTAATTTTTTTTTTTTTTGTATTTTTTTTTTGTATTTTTTTGTGTGTTATTGTATTGATGCTGCATTTTTTAGTATTTATGGAATTTTACGCATTTTTTTTATTTTTTTTTTTGCAAATTTTTTTATTATTTTTTAGCAAATTTTTATTTTTTTTCTTTTTATTTTTTTTTTATTTTTTAATTTATTTAATTTTTTTGTTTTCAATTCGGTCTGTTTGCTTACAATTTAGTTTTAAAGTAAATTTTTATTTTTTACGGTATTTGTTTGGCTCTCTTCTATTGGCTTCTCTTGTGAAACAAAACTACGAGACTTTTTTTTTTTTTTTGTTATTTAATTTTTTTTAATTGCCAAAAAGCTTGGCGCTTTTTATTGTAGACAATTTTGATGGCAATATATTTATATAAAGCTTTGTCAGAGAAATTAGGAAAGCGTAGGCAAAAGCAAGTAAGTAAGTAGAAAATATGTAAATTAATTAAAAAAAAAATGTATTTCTAAAAATCAGAGAAGAGATGTATTAAGCAAAAATAGAGCGAAAAAGCGCACTTTTCTAGTAATATAAATGTATGTATATTTGTAACATTAGTAGAAACTATCTATGATTATTATTTTTTATTAATTTTTTTTGGTCTGCAGTATTAAATTTATTTGAGTTTTTAATTTTTTTTTTTTATATTTAAGTTACCTATTTTTTTATTATTTGTGCAGATACATATAAAAGTTATATGTCTTTTAAAGCGCAGAAATTTTAATAAAAACACATTTTAGTTAAAATTAAAAAAAAAAAATTTTAAATTTTGAAATCAATTATAATTGCACTTTTAACTATTTTTCTCGGTAAGAGCTCGATAGGTGTACAAAAAAATTGCATGCGAAAAATTTTCTTGCTTGTTCTCGCCTCAAATTCATGGCCTTAACATATGTTTTTGGTATTAAGGCATAAGTAAAAACTAGTAAAAAAACTCAATATTGTAGAAAAAATGAGTTTTTGTACTATCGTTATTATTCATGCTTCAAAAAAAAACTATCTCTGCTACAGATAATTTCTCCAATACAGATTATACTGAGCTCGATGCAGAGCACACAAAAAGTTACATGCGATAAATTTTGCTTTCGTATATACACGAATCACATTCGGCTTATTTGTAGATTACTGTTGGACATCTAGCAATTGCCATTAGGTTTTTATGCCAAAATATTAAAAATAAATTAATTTGTACAAAAAACTTTGGAATTACTAAAAGAGCGTACCGTTGTGTTGAAAACTCATGAAAAATCGCTTCACCCTTAATAAGGCTGATTTTTAAAAGTTATAAGCGGTTAGCTAAAAAATAAAACCAATTTTGAATTAAATAAATAAATAATATATTTAAATATGTAAAGATTTTTCAATATTCCTGCTCATTCAAAAGCGTAAGATTTTGGCTCAAACTTGTGGCCAAAAGTGCGAAATTGCAAAAAATTGTAACTAAAAGAAAATCGGGAATTTATATAGCTACTTTGAAAATTTATTTGGATATTTATAATATTTTTTATTATTATTTATATTTTTTGTGGTTTTATTGA